ACCTCACAGCCGAAATTCAAAAACACGTCGCTAAATCGATCAATCCCAAGGTTTTGGAACACAATGCGAGTTTAGGGTTTAGGGTTGATAAGGTTCAGCCTTCAGGGTTTAGGGGGTGCGGGGTTCAGCGTTGTAGCAGCCAGTGGCGGCAAAAGTGAGATGCGCAACGAGAATCCTTTCATGGCCGGGGCAGAAGCCTAAGATGCCCTTATATACTCCTGAACACGAAGCCTTTAATTGCGCTCCGAAGATCTCTCAGCTGCAAACCCTAAGGCCCTAACCCCCCTGAACCCTCAACTCCCACAACGTTTTCGGATTAAAGCCAAAAGAATTCTTTCATCTCCAACTTCTCTGGGGCCCCGGCCGCGCGATGCAGGCGGGCATCTTCGTCAGGCCCCCCAGGCCTGTCGGGGAGGTTCTTCGGGGTTTTAGGGTGTACTGGTGGCCTTTAGGGCTCTTAGCACCTAGAGCTCGGACTGTGAGACAGGCTTAATTAATGTGTGTGTGTGTGTGTGTGTGACTTCTTTCCCAAGTTCCACGCAGATGCAATGTTGCTGTGTGGCCTTGCAGGGTGGACTGTGCCGATTTCAAAAGGAAACGGGCAAGATCCCAAGGGCCGAGTTAAACATGCATCCCGAGTAAGTAAAAATTATTTTACTTCGAAAATCCCCCACCCTCTCTTGGTAGAGATACTCTGGCGTTGGGCACTCCAGGTACACTTTCGGGGGGTTGGGCACTCCAGGGAGACGCTGGGGCTGGGCACTTCGGGGAGACTCTGGGCCTGGGCACTCCGGAGGATTGTGGGGACAGGGGTTGGGCACTCCAGGAAACTGGGCAGTTCAAAAAAATATGGGGTTGGGCACTCCAGGGACACTTTAGATGGGCACTCCAGGGACACTTTGGGGTTGGGCCCTCCAGGGATGAGCGAGGAGTAGACCGGGCGAGGAGAAGAGTTCCGGTTGAGGAGAAGAGCTCCGGGCAAAGAGAAGAGTTGAGCTTAAAATCTAACAACCCCACACCGAGGGTGGGGAAAACCAGATGCCCCCGGCTTGCCCTAAACCCTAAACCCTAAACCCTACGAGTCATCGAGCGGATGACGCAGTCATAAGCTCAGCTCACCTTGCCCTCGCTCATGGCCTGGAAGGCCTTGATGGCGCCTCTGCCGGTTCTCCGCCGCGCGCCTGGCGCCTCCTGACTTCGTGTGCTGCATAGACAAGCGCATACATAGACAGAAAGTGCATAAATACAGAGAGACAGAAAAGCGCATAAATACACCGAGACACACAGAGAGTGAGAGAGAGAGCGAGAGTGAGATGAATTACAAATGTATACATATACATATACACGCATTTCGAACCTTGGTGAATGAGTTTGGGATCTCCGCCTGCTGTAGGGTAGTTCATGACAGCTCCTTCCCAAGCATCTTTCCATACTAGCAGGTTTCTTTACTGTGCTTGGTTTGTGTATTTTAGGCTTTATACAAGGTTGAGGATTCCAGGATACGGTTGAATGGCTTGCGGTTCAGGAGGCCGAGCGCAAGAGAGTGCCTTCCTGTTGGGGGGTTGGGGTTTGGGGTTTAGGGTTTAGGGTTTGGGGTTTAGGGTTTAGGGTTTGGGGTTTAGGGTTTGGGTTTAGGGGGGGGAAGGTTGAACAGCAGGGGGGCTTAGGGCCCGCTGGCGGCTCGGGCTCCTGAGATTCTCGGCAAGTCGGGCTTCTCTCTGCTCCTGAAGGCTCTGAGTTTGGGGTTTGGGGTTTAGGGTTTAGGGTTTAGGGCTAAGGGCACCCGAAACCCGAAGAAGAGCCAGGAACAACTGTCACTGATTCTACTCTTCAGCACAGTTGAATGCAAGAACGTGTAAAACAGACCAGGGAGAGAGGGGGGGGGGTTCGTCCGGTCTAGATATAGCGCCTCGGCCCCAAGTAGCATAGGGGCCTGAGTCCTGAGTCGTTTAAGGTTTAAGATTTTAGGGCCTGGGATTCCTAAGTCTTGCCTCACAAAGTCTAAACGCCCTGCAAACAGAAACCCCCTCAGCGACTCACCCAAGAAAGGGTTCAAACCCCTAAACCCGAAACCCTAAACCCACTGTAGGGTTCAGGCAGCCAACCCGACCCCCAAACAAAGGGGCAGAAGGGCAAACGTCGCAGTCCTTGCTCGAAAAACGAGTCTTAATCCCTTGCTTAGTTGTCCAAAAGGGAATCTAGTACACCGAAAAGGTTGAAGGTTGCTTGCTCTACTGCTAAGCTTGCTTGAATAACAGGCTCTTTCTGCCCTCAGGACTCAGCCCCTCCTGCGGTAAACCCCAAACCGCAAACCCCAAACCCTAAACCCTAAATCCTAAACCCTAAACCCTAAACCCCAAATCCTAAACCCTAAACCCCTAAAGATCCGCAGGCTCACCTGCTTCAGCCTCTGCTGCTGCGCAGCCCAGCCCTCCCCCGCCGGCGCCGCTTTCGGGGTGGAGCGCGACTTGGCCTGGACTCCTGGAGAGTTGGGTTTAGGGTTTAGGGTTTAGGGTTTAGGGTTTAGGGTTTAGGGTTTAGGGTTTAGGGTTTAGGGTTTAGGGTTCAGCATCTCAAGTTCGAGCATTTGCTAGGCCAGCAGTGTGTTCAGGCAACGGAAAAAAACCCACCCGCCCAAAGAATCCCATAACATTAAGAAAATAAAAGGTTTTCTTCCTACTCCAAAGAGTTTTACCTACCCGAGTCAGACACGTTTTCAACAACATTAGGAAAAATATCCAACCTCCTTCTTCTCTAGGCACGTGGTCAACAGAATGGATTTGTTAACCACATGTTTCTGTTTCGAGCGGACAAGAAAACCAAACGTGGTCAACAGAATGGATCTGTTTATCAGATTTGGAAGCCATCTTGAGTTTCTTGAATCGATTGAGGGGCTTCAGGGGCCTCAAAAACAGGCGCGGTCATTCGGGAACTTATTCTTTGGAAGCCATCTTGAGTCTCTTGACTCTTTTGAGGGGCTTCAAGGGCCTCAAAAACAGGCGCGGTCATTCAGAAACTTATTCTTTGAAAGCCATCTTTGATCCACTTCTTTGATCCACTTCATTGTCGAGGGGGGGGGGGGGGGAGGGGGGGTGGGTGGGGGGGGGGGTGGGGGGGGGGGGGTGGGGGTGGGGGGGGGGGGGGGGGGGGGGGGGGTGGGGGGGGGTGGGGGGGGGGGGGGGGGGGGGGGGGGGTGGGGGGGGGGGGGGGGGGGCCACTAAATATGACCTTGCCCGCTAAATATATGACCTTGCCCGCTAAATATAGGACCTTGCCCGCTAAATATAGGACCTTGCCCGCTAAATATAGGACCTTGCCCGCTAAATATAGGACCTTGCCCGCTAAATATATGACCTTGCCCGCTAAATATATGACCTTGCCCGCTAAATATATGACCTGGCCCGGGCCATATATGTAGCGGGCAAGGTCATATATTTAGCGGGCAAGGTCATATATTTAGCGGGCAAGGTCATATATTTAGCGGGCAAGGTCATATATTTAGTGGGCAAGGTCGCCCTTTAGCGGGCAAGGTCATATATTTAGTGGGCAAGGTCATTTTTTAGCCAATGGACCTTGCCCACTAAATATATGACCTTGCCCGCTAAATATATGACCTTGCCCGCTAAATATATGACCTTGCCCGCTAAATATAGGACCTTGCCCGCTAAATATATGACCTTGCCCGCAAAGTCATTAACATTTATATTATATATGAAAGAGTGGTTTAGGGTTTAGGGTTTAGGGTTTAGGGTTTAGGGTTTAGGGTTTAGGGTGTGTCAGGGGAGGGCGCGCGCTCGGGTGTGAAACACCCCGGGCCGTGCCCGTCAACCCACCCCGGCCACCCAAACTATACTCTATTAGGGTTTAGGGTTTATGGAATATATTTTCTTGTGCCCTGATGCTTGCTTTGATGTTTTTAAAGCTGCGCTGTTAGGGTTTAAGCTGGGGTTGGGGGTAGCCTCGGCCCTTTTCGGGCCTTCGGCGTGTCAGGGCCCGTAGAGGCCCTTATTTATTTGAAGGTCAGGGAAACCCTTTGTCCCTGCTCCTGGATTCCCCTTCTTTAAGGGCCTCAAGCCTTTTGGTGGCTCTTGGGGCCTTTTGGGGGCTTCCTGGGGGCTTTCCTGGCCCTTCCGGGGTAAAATGAAGGGGTGCCCAAAACCATCGATTTCAGTACAAAAAAATCGCATTTTTCATTGCGGGTACGGGCATCCTTTCCGTTTCTCTTTTCGCTTGGGCGCTCGGGCTGTAAGGCCCTCGGCCGAGCGTTCGGGGCCTGTCGCTCGACGGAAGCGACCCCTCGCTTAGTTTAGGGTTTAGGGTTTAGGGTTTAGGGTTTAGGGTTTAGGGTTTAGGGTTTAGGGTTTAGGGTTTAGGGTTTAGGGTTTAGGAGCTCAGGCCTCCTGGGATTCTTTTTGCCACCCGCCTAGCTTCTGGGGTTTAGGGTTAAGGGTTTGGGGTTGAGGGTTTAGGGTTGGTTGGTTTCGGAGTTCAGCGCTTTGATGGGGCTTAGGGTTGAGGATTGAGGCTTCAATATTGGTTGCTTGAGGAGCTCAGGGTTTTGATGGGGTTCGAGGATCTTCTTGGGTTCTGAATGGTGGGAGGGATGATTCGGATGGCTTGGGGTTGAGCTTTTTGGCGAGGAACCTGTTCAATACAAAGGGCTTGGAGTCCTCAACAAGCCTGTTGATAGAAGGATTGTCAGGCTGTGGGGGCTGGTCTCAACGCAATGCCTCACGAACCTCCAAAACCTTCTTGCGTGCGTACCGACCATGTCATGAACCCTTTATGGGATTCTGAGGCAACCCACTCTGGGTATAGCTTTCAACCATACTCAATAGGTGTGCCTAACCAAGGCCATTGTAACCGATCGATCATTCCAAAGTGTTACACGATACTCTCGCTCTCTCTCTCTCTCTCTCTCTCTCTCTCTCTCTCTATAGTAAGGGCACCCTTTTATTGGGAACCCGGAGCCAACAAAAAGGGCAAAGGGCACCTCTAGGCTACCAAGTTTGTGTGGGACTTTGAGGCATGTAAGGCGTGTCTCCTGGCTGCGCAGTGGGGGCCGGTGCGGGTCGCTGGGCTGGGATTTCCGTGGTGGGTTTGGGGCTGGTGGTGCTGGCTTTGGGGGCCGGTGCCGGGGTGCTGGGTGTGGACTTCGGGGTTGCCTTAGCGGCGCCAGCCGTATTCCCATTGGGATAAGGCGGGGCATAGGTGACAGGGGTGGGGGTGGGTTGGTTCTGTGTCGGGGGACTGGGCGTCGGCGGCGGAGGCGGCCGCGCGGCGTAGACTTCTGGCGCAGCATAGGGGTCGTTCAGCGGCGTGGGGACTGCTGGAGGTGGGGGGGAAGGCTTGGGTAGGCGCCCTTCGGCGGCTTGCTCGCGATGCCTCTGCATCTCCATCTCGCTCTGCTGCCGGTGGTTCTCATCCAAGACCTTCCCGCATGAAGCTTATTTGGGGGTTTACGATATTAGGGTACCATATTGGGGTCCTTACTATACGGGGATCCTACTATTTGGGGGTCTATATTGAGGGTCCCAAATTCCCGGCAACTGGGGGCTCTCTTTCCCTACTGCTTGATGGCTAAATTTTGCTGTGTACTACAGAAGGGCCAAGCACTACGAAATCGAGAGCTGCAGGGAAGCATGTGCGCACCCGTGACTTTCTGCCCCACCTGCTGAGGGCTCCACGATGACCATCGGAACTCCTGAGAGCTGAGCCCATAAATGACGGCTGTGCCAACTTGGGGGTTTCCTGTATATAACGTACTCCCTGTAGTAGTGCTATTTCCTGTAGACAGAGGGGTCCCCCAAAAAGGGGCTTAGACCAACCCCAGACGAGGAATGAAAAGCTCTGGGTAAAAGACGTTGGGGTTTGAGGGCATTCGGCCGTGGAGAAGAATCTAGGGCTTTGGAGAATTTCGCCGGCGAGGCATATGAAAACTCTTTATGTTAACACGCGTCTTTATGTTCTGTAAGAGCAGCTCCTCGACTTATGGGGCTTAACGTTCCTAGGGCTTCGAGTTCTAGGACGGTTGGGGAGGGTCTCTGCTTTTGCTACGGGGTTGCTCAAAGCCGCCCTGAAACCTTAAGAGTCTCAAAGGCCCAATGCCCAAAACCCCAAGACCCAAAAGGACCCTAAAGCACTTAAAGCCCTTGAAGCCCACTACAAGCCCTGAAGCCCCAAAAAAGAACCAAAGCCCTGAAACCCTTTTCTCCCTCCAGGCCTCTGGAGTCCTATCACCCCTGGGTTTAGGGTTTAGGGTTTAGGGTTTAAAGCCTCATTTCAAAACCCTTGAGGAAGCCTTTAGGGTTTAGGCGATGTTTTCTGCCAGCCGCCTGGCTGACCACTTAGGCTCTAGGGTCTAGGGTTTCGGGCCCTGAAGAACAACCCCCCTCTAACGAAAATCCTAAACCCTCAACCCTAAACCCTAAACCCCCAACCCCAAACCCTAAACCCTAAACCCTAAACCCTAAACCCCAAACCCGAAACCCTAAACCCTAAACCCTAAACCCTACTCAAAAAACCTACACCCTTGCGTCCTGACCCTGGCGCAGCGTCTCCACATGCGCGCCCGGCTGCTGGCGGAAGGCGCACTCCAGGGAGTTCCTTGACTGAGGGTTTAGGGTTTAGGGTTTGGGGTTTGGGGTTTAGGGTTTGGGGTTTAGGGTTTAGGGTTCCAGGGCTTAGGGGGCTTTAGAGGTTTCAGCGGTTTTGGGGGTTTTAGGGTTTAGGGGGTCAAGGGTTTTAAGGGTTTAGGGTTTGGGCTTGAGGGGCTGAAGCGTTTTCAGGGTTTGGGGTTGAGAGCTCAAGTGTTTTTGAAGGTTTCGTCTGCCCAAGGGTTTCTTAAGATTTAGGGCTGCTCGCGGAACGAAAAACCAGAAAAGCCTAAATCCGGTTTGCCCAGCACCCTTATTCGCTGTTCCGCTCCCTTCTATGAACAACATTAATTAAGCCCTAACCTCTTTTAACCACGGCCTGAGGACGATACCGGGAAAGCCTACCACGACCGCAGCTGCGTTTGCAGCGCGACCCCGTGCATGCCTAGCATGCACCGGGTTTTCAGCAGGCGTTTTGACTTCGAAGGTCACCAATCGTAAGCCCTACAGGCTCTCAACCCTGAACCCTAAACCCCAAACCCCTGAACCGTAAATCCTGAACTCCCTCCTTCTTTTCTTGCTATGCTGCCTAAACCCTAAACCCAAAAACCCTGAGCCCTAATTGAGCCCTAAACCCGAAATCCAACCTTCAAAACCTCGCCAGGCGCGAGGGTGTCGAAGCAATGGCTCCCCGAAGAACCCCCTCAAAAGCCTCCTCGACTTCTTCTGCGGTTTAGGGTTTAGGGTTTAGGGTTGAGAGTTTTTTTTCGCTCCCGCATAGCTGGCCGAACCGCAGGCAGGAGTTAAGTCTGTCTTCTTAGGAGGTTTAGGGTTTAGGGTTGGCGGCTCCTAAACCCTAACTATGTCTTTTGTGGTTTCTTGGGCGGCCTTTACAATTCCACAAACGAGCATACATATAGACTTAACTACATTGATATATGTAGGTGTGTACAGAGAGAGATAGGTTTGGGGTGCTCCTACGGTGCTTTTTTCCTGGAACCCTAAACCCTAAACCCCAAAACCCGAAACCAATCCCTAAACCCGGCAGCCCCAGGGCCAGGCGAGGGGGTCAGGGGGGCCCAGGGTACCCCCCCCCCCCCCGAAAATGCCAGCGACGGAACAGGGCGGGGGGGGGGGGTTTAGTTATTCTAAGGGACCCGTACTGGTGTCGAGGAGAACGTGTTCCGGTACCGGGCCCATCGTGGGCGCAACCCAGGTTCGGTTTGGGGCTGCAGCAACCCAAAAACCGATGGGTTTTGCCTTGCCAAGTTCCTAGTTGCGGAGGCTCCAGGGATGTCCCGAGTTGTCATACAGGGGTGTAAGTGTTGCTGAGGGTTTAGGGTTTAGGGTGTAGGGTTTAGTCGCTCACACTCGGACAAGCCAGCAGGTGTAAGGGTTTTTTTGAGGGTTGAAGGGCTCAAACCCTTAACTCCTGGACCTTCAGACCACTCGCCTCCCCTTGAAGGCATCGCCTCCACTGCTTCCCAAAAATGCCCTTCATAGACCTCTGCTGAGCTTACATGCCATAGGTTTGGGCCTCAGGGGGCCCTCTACCCCCCCGTGCAAGTCAGCCATCTCCATAAGGGGGAAACCCTGGCGTAGAACAACCTCTGCCTAAACACTTCATCAAATCTCCGTTCGTGCTTCTCGTCTTAGTAGCCCAGTAGCCAGATTTTCACAAGGGGTACACTTTTTCTTGGGTTGGTTACCTTTTTTATAAGGAACTCAAAACTCACAAGAAAAGGGTAAAGGGTACCGCTGGGCTACCAAGTCAGGATCCCCCCAGTGCGGCCACAGGCTCAGAATACTGCCCAGGCCTTTCGTCTCCAGCATGACGACCTCAGCACTCTAATTGCCAACCGGGCCCCCTTTTTAAGGATGCATGGTTTAGGGTTTAGGGTTTAGGGTTTAGGGTTTAGGGATACTTTCCAGGATGCCAAGAAGTTGAACCGGTTTGAATTTGTCTGGTCCAGTTGCCCCCTAAGCTCCCGACGTTTGCAAAACGCTTCGACCGAGTGACTGTGCAGATGTGACGAGGCGGGAGGCGAGCATCATGATCATCAGCTGGGTATTTTTCCCGCGTGAATGTGCAGATGTCACGAGGCGAGAGGCGAGCATCATGAGCATCAGCTCGATATTTTTCTGGTCCAGTTGCCCCCTAAGCTCCCGACGTTTGCAAAACCCTTCGACCGACTGACTGTGCAGATGTGACGAGGCGGGAGGCGAGCATCATGGTCATCAGCTGGGTATTTTTCCCGAGTGAATGTGCAGATGTCACGAGGCGAGAGGCGAGCATCATGAGCATCAGCTGGATATTTTTCTGGTCCAGTTGCCCCCTAAGCTCCCGACGTTTGCAAAACCCTTCGACCGAGTGACTGTGCAGATGTGACGAGGCGGGAGGCGAGCATCATGATCATCAGCTGGGTGTTTTTCCCGAGTGAATGTGCAGATGTCACGAGGCGAGAGGCGAGCATCATGAGCATCAGCTGGATATTTTTCTGGTCCAGTTGCCCCCTAAGCTCCCGACGTTTGCAAAACCCTTCGACCTAGTGACTGTGCAGATGTGACGAAGCGGGAGGCGAGCATCATGATCATCAGCTGGGTATTTTTCCCGAGTGAATGTGCAGATGTCACGAGGCGAGAGGCGAGCATCATGAGCATCAGCTGGATATTTTTCTGGTCCAGTTGCCCCCTAAGCTCCCGACGTTTGCAAAACCCTTCGACCGAGTGACTGTGCAGATGTGACGAGGCGGGAGGCGAGCATCATGAGCATCGGGAGGCGAGCATCATGAGCATCAGCTGGGTATTTTTCTGGTCCAGTTGCCCCCTAAGCTCCCGACGTTTGCAAAACCCTTCGACCGAGTGAATGTGCAGATGTCACGAGGCGGGAGGCGAGCATCATGAGCATCAGCTGGGTATTTTTCTGGTCCAGTTGCCCCCTAGGCTCCCGACGTTTGCAACACCCTTCGACCGAGTGAATGTGCAGATGTGACGAGGCGGGAGGCGAGCATCATGAGCATCAGCTGGGTGTTTTTTTTGGTCCAGTTGCCCCCTAAGCTCCCGACGTTTGCAAAACCCTTCGACCGAGTGAATGTGCAGATGTCACGAGGCGGGAGGCGAGCATCATGAGCATCAGCTGGGTATTTTTCTGGTCCAGTTGCCCCCTAGGTTCCCGACGTTTGCAACACCCTTCGACCGAGTGAATGTGCAGATGTGACGAGGCGGGAGGCGAGCATCATCAGCATCAGCTGGGTGTTTTTCTGGTCCAGTTGCCCCCTTAACTCCCCTCGTTTTGCAAAACCCTTCGACCGAGTGAATGTGCAGATGTCACGAGGCGGGAGGCGAGCATCATGAGCATCAGCTGGGTATTTGTCTGGTCCAGTGGCCCCCTAAGCTCCCGACGTTTTGCAAAACCCTTCGACCGAGTGAATGTGCAGATGTCACGAGGCGGGAGGCGAGCATCATCAGCATCAGCTGGGTATTTTTCTGGTCCAGTTGCCCCCTAAGCTCCCGATGTTTGCAAAACCCTTCGACCGAGTGAATGTGCAGATGTCACGAGGCGGGAGGCGAGCATCATGAGCATCAGCTGGGTGTTTTTCTGGTCCACGTTTGCAAAACCCTTCGACCGAGTGAATGTGCAGATGTCACGAGGCGGGAGGCGAGCATCATCAGCATCAGCTGGGTATTTTTCTGGTCCAGTGGCCCCCTTAACTCCCGACGTTTTGCAAAGACCCTTCGACCGAGTGAATGTGCAGATGTCACGAGGCGGGAGGCGAGCATCATGAGCATCAGCTGGGAATTTTTCTGGTCCAGTTGCCCCCTAAGCTCCCGACGTTTGCAAAACCCTTCGACCGAGTGAATGTGCAGATGTCACGAGGCGGGAGGCGAGCATCATGAGCATCAGCTGGGTATTTTTCTGGTCCAGTTGCCCCCCAAGCTCCCGACGTTTGCAAAACCCTTCGACCGAGTGAATGTGCAGATGTCACGAGGCGGGAGGCGAGCATCATGAGCATCAGCTGGGTATTTTTCTGGCCCAGTTGCCCCCTAAGCTCCCGACGTTTGCAAAACCCTTCGACCGAGTGAATGTGCAGATGTCACGAGGCGGGCGGTGAGCATCATCAGCATCAGCTGGGTATATTTCTGGTCCAGTTGCCTCCTAAGCTCCCGACGTTTGCAAAACCCTTCGACCGAGTGAATGTGCAGATGTCACGAGGCGGGAGGCGAGCATCATGAGCATCAGCTGGGAGTTTTTCTGGTCCAGTTGCCCCCTAAGCTCACGACGTTTGCAAAACCCTTCGACCGAGTGAATGTGCAGATGTCACGAGGCGGGAGGCGAGCATCATGAGCATCAGCTGGGTATTTCTGGTCCAGTTGCCCCCTATGCTCCCGACGTTTGCAAAACCCTTCGACCGAGTGAATGTGCAGATGTCACGAGGCGGGAGGCGAGCATCATGAGCATCAGCTGGGTATTTTTCTGGTCCAGTTGCCCCCTAAGCTCACGACGTTTGCAAAACCCTTCGACCGAGTGAATAGATGTCACGAGGCGGGAGGCGAGCATCATGAGCATCAGCTGGGTACTTTTCTGGTCCAGTTGCCCCCTAAGCTCCCGACGTTTGCAAAACCCTTCGACCGAGTGAATAGATGTCACGAGGCGGGAGGCGAGCATCATGAGCATCAGCTGGGTACTTTTCTGGTCCAGTTGCCCCCTTCAGCTCCCGACGTTTGCAAAACCCTTCGACCGAGTGAATGTGCAAATGTCACGAGGCGGGAGGCGAGCATCATGAGCATCAGCTGGATATTTCTGGTCCAGTTGCCCCTTCACGACGTTTGCAAAACCCTTCGACCTATTGAATGTGCAGATGTCACGAGGCCAGCTGGGTATTTTTCTGGCCCAGTTGCCCCCTAAGCTCCCGACGTTTGCAAAACCCTTCGACCGAGTGATTGTGCAGATGTCACGAGGCGGGAGGCGAGCATCATGAGCATCAGCTGGGAGTTTTTCTGGTCCAGTTGCCCCCTAAGCTCACGACTTTTGCAAAACCCTTCGACCGAGTGAATGTGCAGATGTCACGAGGCGGGAGGCGAGCATCATGAGCATCAGCTGGGTATTTTTCTGGTCCAGTTGCCCCCTATGCTCCCGACGTTTGCAAAACCCTTCGACCGAGTGAATGTGCAGATGTCACGAGGCGGGAGGCGAGCATCATGAGCATCAGCTGGGAGTTTTTCTGGTCCAGTGGCCCCCTAAGCTCCCGACGTTTGCAAAACCCTTCGACCGAGTGAATTTGCAGATGTCACGAGGCGGGAGGCGAGCATCATGAGCATCAGCTGGGTATTTCTGGTCCAGTTGCGCCCTATGCTCCCGACGTTTGCAAAACCCTTCGACCGAGTGAATGTGCAGATATGACGAGGCGGGAGGCGAGCATCATGAGCATCGGCTGGGTATTTTTCTGGTCCAGTGGCCCCCTAAGCTCCCGACGTTTGCAAAACCCTTCGACCGAGTGACTGTGCAGATGTCACGAGGCGGGAGGCGAGCATCATGAGCATCAGCTGGGCATTTTTCTGGTCCAGTGGCCCCCTAAGCTCCCGACGTTTGCAAAACCCTTCGACCGAGTGACTGTGCAGCTGTCACCAGGCGGGAGGCGAGCATCATGAGCATCAGCTGGGCATTTTTCTGGTCCAGTGGCCCCCTAAGCTCCCGATGTTTGCAAAACCCTTCGACCGAGTGACTGTGCAAATGTCACGAGGCGGGAGGCGAGCATCATGAGCATCAGCTGGGAATTTTTCTGGTCCGGTTGCCCCCTAAGCTTCCGACGTTTGCAAAACCCTTCGACCGAGTGACTGTGCAGATGTCACGAGGCGGGAGGCGAGCATCATGAGCATCAGCTGGGCATTTTTCTGGTCCAGTGGCCCCCTAAGCTCCCGACGTTTGCAAAACCCTTCGACCGAGTGACTGTGCAGATGTCACGAGGCGGGAGGCGAGCATCATGAGCATCAGCTGGGCATTTTTCTGGTCCAGTGGCCCCCTAAGCTCCCGACGTTTGCAAAACCCTTCGACCGAGTGACTGTGCAGATGTCACGAGGCGGGAGGCGAGCATCATGAGCATCAGCTGGGTGTTTTTCTGGTCCGGTCGCCCCCTTCAGCTCCCGACGCTTGCAAAACCCTTCGACCGAGTGAATGTGCAGATGTCACGAGGCGGGAGGCGAGCATCATGAGCATCAGCTGGGTACTTTTCTGGTCCAGTGGCCCCCGTAACATTGCAAGCCCCCGGGCAAATCATCCCTATCTCTCTCTCTCCCTCCCTCCTCTCCCTCTCTCTCAGATCAGCCAGGGCACTACGGGTGCCAGAGGCAAATGCTCGCCATGGTGGCTGAGCCACTTCGAGGAGGAGTATGAAGGGGATCGGAACTTGATCCTGCGCAGCACGTGGGAAAAACTGGGCTTTCAGGGGGGCTGCAATCATGATGTACGCTTAAACTAACATCAGATGTAGTTTAGATCCATTCCCTGATTCGGCAGTTGGCGCAAAAGCAACACACATGGAAGGCGGCGTGGAAACACGTGGCCGTTTGCAATGATTGCCAAGACAACGGCGCGGTTTCCCCATATCTTCGCCAAGTGAGTGGACTAACCTGTCACATGGGGGGGGTTAGAGAAACAGCAGACTACGAAAGAGACTCCCAAGAAGGGCACGGATGCGCCATCACGCCACGCATGGCGCGCTGCTTGTATGGTCCTTGTGGCATGCAGCACGCCCCACCTCAGTTGCTGAGGATAGCATGTATTGGACCAGGTTTAGGGTTTAGGGTTTAGGGTTTAGGGTTTAGGGTTTAGGGCTTCTTTCTCAATAGAGTTCAAAAGCCGAGTCTCTGCAGGTGGTGAGTTTGGAGTGGATCGGGGGGTGCCCGGGCAGTTCTATACACGCAGTAGGGGACCCCAGTCTGTCATAAACTCTTCTTGCATCCTGCCCAGAATCTAGCACCATGCAGTTGCTGAGCGCTATTACGGCTAAGCGCTGTTGCTGATGCACTGCCTTCGTCTGCTTGAGTTGAGGGGCCTGGACCACAGGAAGGAGGGGTCCAAAAACCCAAAACTGTTTCTGGAACCTAGTCTCATGTCAACTTCACCGCCCAAACCCTGAACCCTAGACCCTAATTCCAAAACCCTACACCCTAGACCCTAAACCCGGCTCAAGCCACCAAGGCTTCTGTAGACGCCCCCCCCCCCCCCCCCCTGTGCCTGCCGGGACCCGGCTCAAGCCACCAAGGCTTCTGGAGACGCCCCTCCCTGTGCCTGCCGGGACACTCCTTCTCCCATAGGGATGTCAGCTCATGAGGTGTCATCTGCCGTCTGGGGAGGACCATGCTCAGCACCTGGCCCGGTGTAGGGTTTAGGGTTGAGGGTTGAGGGCTTGGGGTTTCGACTCCCAAAACGAAGGGAGGAAGTTTAGGGCTTTCGACTCCCACAACGAGCGCAAGCGCAGGTTTAGGGGGTTGAGGTTTAAGGTTGAGGCTCAAGAATACTCATTATATATATATATATATACAAATACATATATATATATATATGTATATGTATATGTATATGTATATGTGTATATATATATATATATTTACATTTTCTCTTCTTTTGGGGGTGGGGGGTTGGTTTCGGAACCTGACGGTTCAGCTTACACCGAGTAAACCCTGATCCTGTTTGGGATTCTACGGCTGGGGCTTCTTCGAGTGGTGTGAGACGTGAGCTCAGAGGCTCCTCAGGTTCGAGCTGTACTTGGGTTTAGGGTTTAGGGTTTAGGGTTTAGGGTTTAGGGTTTAGGGTTTAGGGTTTAGGGTTGGAGGTTCATGGTACTTATTCACCAGTTACAACTGGACTTATTACCCACTTATAAGCCCCTTAAGTGCCTGAATATGGTTATAAGTACAGTTATAACTGGTTAATGAGTACCATGGACCTCCAAGTACTTGGGGGTGGGTACTATGAATTAGACTTCGCGGTGTCTCGGGTTCAGGGTGTCTGTGCGTGTGGGTTGCCTTATCCATTGGGCCACAGGACCTTCTTGCAGAAACTGTAGTCAGGGGGGGCTGCCAGTGCTGTTTCATAGTGGAAGGAAAGGCAAGGGAATGAAGTTGCTTTTCTTCCTGTCTAAAGATGAGCATGATTTAGCCGACTTCATCATGCACGAGAGTTGAATGCGGATCGGCAGGCCCCCCTAAACCCTAAACCCTAAAACGCTAAAACCCGAAAACCCTGAAACCCCAAACCTGGCCAAAATCCAAACCCGGTCTGCAGCTTTTTGATTTCCCGGCAGGGAAGGCGCTTCTTTCAGAGCTGCGAAGGGGTTCGGGGTTTGAGGGTTTAGGAGCTTAGGGAATTTCGGGGGATCCTTGAAAGAATCCTGTTGTAAACCGCTTTTACCCCCTAACCCCAAACCTTTTTTTTAGCATCCGGGCTTGGGGAGTCGGCCGGGAATGGTCTTGCGGGCAAGACTATGCAGTTAACCCTAAACCCTAAACCCTAAACCCTAAACCCTAAACCCTAAACCCTAAACCCTAAACCCTAAACCCTAAACCCTAAACCCTAAACCCTAAACCCTAAACCCCAGAGTCGCAGCTCAGGTGGCGCTTGCTTGCTCGTTCTGGCAGATGGTGGGCCCTTTCCTCGGAGAGGCGGGTTTCAGGGCTTAGACTTGCTGAAGAGCGAGTTCAGGACCTTTTATTGCTTTTTTGTTTTGGGTTGTGTTTATTTTGTAATTGGGTTTCTCTTTTTGTATTATGTCATCAATTTCATGAAAGCAGAGGTCACTGGAATCATTGAACCTTACGCAGCAAACGACCTTGTCCGATCTGGGCTGACGAAATGCGTAGGGAAAGGAGGACCAGTCGAAGCAAACATCGACCCTCTCGTCCCAGCTGACTGACAAGTCCAAAACCCCGCGTTCCAACCCTTCGTATCCCAGTAACCATACTATAAGGGCACCCTTTTTGGGGCCTGGCTAATGGAAAGGGAGCCTTGAACCAAAAAAAGGGCAAAGGGTATCACTGGGCTGCCAAGGACCCTGAAGCCACCCCTCAAGCCTAAACCCTAAACCCTAAACCCTAAACCCTAAACCCTCAACCCTAAACCCTAAACCCTAAACCCTAAACCCTAAACCCAATCCCGAAAAGACATACCTTGACATCGGCGCCGAGGTGCACAGCCTGCCACACAGGTCTAATCGACGATTTTGCGGGGGTGGTTCAAGCAATCTTTGGCCCCAGAAGGGGAGAAAACTGCCAAAGGGCAAGAGCCTGTGCCTTTATACAATGTATAAACAGATGAATGTACATCTGTATGTATAACATGTTCACATATATACATATATAAATATGTATGTATGTATATGATCTCTCTCTCTCTCTCTCGTTCTCTTGCTTGCATAGTTCAAAGAGGTGTGCCCCTGACCCCCCCTGACCCCCCGGACCAAAACCCTCAGCCGCAAAAATGCCCGGAAAGCCCCGCAGTCTCTTGCTGAGTTGTCCTTTCAACCTTTTGAAAAATTATGAACAGGTTCCCTTATAAGGAAAGAAGGGAAATTTAAAAAGACCTAAACCCTAAACCCTAAACCCTGAACCCTGAACCTTAAACCCAGCTTGCCTCCAGGGGATACCTCATCAGCCACTCCAGGGATCCATTCCGAGGCCTCGTCTTGGCCTCAGGCCTTGGTCGGGGGTTTAGGCTTTAGGGTTTAGGGTTTAAGGTTCAGGGGTCTAATTAGGGTCGAGGGTTCAGGGGTAGGGGTCTAATTAGGGTTGAGGGTTTAGGGAGGTCAGAGGGCTTTGGGGCACTGAGTACTGGATGCCGGAACCTATGTTAGCAATGGCGCAGGGTCAGTTTGGAGCACCTCACGAAACATGTTTTATGTTTGCTCAAAATCACGCTCTAGCCTAGGTTCTGCAGTGCCTGTAGCACTCTGCAAGAACCCTGTGCGTGTCTAGCTCGAAATCGCCTTCCTGCCTGCGTGGTGCGCACTCTCGCTTCGAAACGGATACGCTTATCGTATGGTAGTAGGCAGTCTCAACAGACACTGTTTGGATGTCTGTCTACGCCGATCAAGTCGTCTTCGCGATTTTGCAATTTTCTTAGGTCCTGTGGCATTGCACGCACCTCTGTTGAAAACTAAGCGTTGCTTGAAGCCCGTAGCTGGTACACTGGTACACTTGTCCCTAAACCTAAACCCTAAAACCTAAACCCTAAACCCTAAACCTCTTACAGCTTCTTTCTGTGAAGTAGGCTCCCAGCACATCGACGCTGTACTCGTACAGCGCCAGCCCAGGCCACACATCGCAGTTCACCGGTGACTTCAGCCTCAACGGTTTAGGGTTTAGGGTTTCGAGTTTAGGGTTTAGGGTGACCCTCCCCCCTACCCCCGCAAAGACAAACACACAAACTAACAACACTCGCTCCCGCACCCTGGCCTTTACAGATTCATTTAGTTGGGATTTTGGGATGTGCAAGTGATAGTCTACTAGCGGGCTTCCCGGGTAGCTTCATCCAGAACTCAGAAGCTTAAGAGTGGAGAGACTTTGCGCAGTGGGAGGAACCCTAAACCCTAAACCCTAAACCCTAAACCCTAAACCCTAAACCCTAAACCCTAAACCTTCAGTGTTCGGGATGCTCCGTTTAGACACCTGCAGCCGAAGCAGCAGAGAGTCCCAGGGCGCCTCCGCCCTGGCAGTCTTGTCAGAACCGGGGGCTTCGAGCTCTTCAAAGCTGCTGGGTTTAGGGTTTAGGGTTTAGGGTTTAGGGTTTAGGGTTTAGGGTTTAGGGTTTAGGGTTTAGGGTTTAGGGTTTAGGGTTTAGGGTTTAGGGTTTAGGGTTTAGGGTTTAGGGTTTAGGGTTTAGGGAGCCTCTAAGGCACGAAACTGGTCTGAGGTCGGTGTGAGCACGCAATCACACAACCAGATGGCAGCTACTGTCAAGCCCTAAGGCCCAGCCACACAAACCCTACAAGCCTAACACCGAAACCCTGCCATACACCCGACAAGCCGGGGGAGGGTTTAGGGTTTAGGGTTTGGGGTTTGGGGTTTAGGGTTTAGGGTTTAGGATTTAGGGTTCCGAGTCCCCCGAGCCTTCTGTATAGCGTCTCCAAGGTGGGGCTGAGCAGCGCAGCGGAGAGCGCGTAGGTGGAGAAGGACAGGACTAGGTGCCTGAGGCTTAGGGCTTTAGGGGTTTCAGGGGTTTTAGGGCTTACGGTTTAGGTTTAGGGTTTAGGTGGAGAAGGACAGCACCAGGTGCCTCCGTTGCTTTCGGGGTTTTAGGGTTTTAGGGTTTAGGTTTTAGGGTTTTAGGGTTTAGGGTCTAGGTTTTTGGGTTATAGGGTTTTGGGTTACAAGGTTTTAGGGTTTTGGGTTACAGGGTTTTAGGGTTTAGGGTAAACTCCATAAACTTGGAACACGGCTTCAGGACGATTGGCGCTGGGATTCCCTTAAGCAACCCTCTTGGGGCATGAGGATAATGACCAACTTTTGGGAGCTTACGTGTGTGGATGCGCTTTTTAGGTTTCATCATGGCCTATGGTTTCGGAGTCGGGATGGGGGGGATCTGGGGTTTGCAAAAATCCCCGACCCTACACGAAAGGGGAATAGGGGCACTCCGGGACATGCGCGTGTCCTCAGCATGTTCTGGTTTTGTTTTCTGCTTTTGAGTCTTGAACAGGTATCCTTCGGATTTCACAGGGTGTCAATGCCCCTGAGCCCTAAGCCCTGGATCCAGACCCAGAGCCCCAAACT